AAGAATTCGATGCGCAACGGTTTACCACCTGAAAGTGGCGTTGCTGCGTGTTTAGGACCAAACTACAGCAGAAGAATGCGCGACCATTGTCGGACACTTTGGAAAACGACTACGTAAATGTGTTGAGGCTGAAGGAGGCATTTTTGAACACTTGTTGGAACTTTGTTGTATACGGTCATTGGTACTGATTAGATGAAGACTCCCAGACGTTTAGTTGGCTGATTTCCTTTTTCGAACGGTATTTTTTATGCTACCGAAGTATTCCGAAAAATTGCCAGAACTTTTTGGTCACCCTGTAGACATAACCTAAAGAGAATTTAGTCCTGTTTATTGACGAAAAGGGTCTCACCTCAATGTTCTCGTCTTGGCCGTGTAAACATCTTGCTTTGGCAACCACCATGTGCTCAGCTTCTGGATAGGAACAGCTGAAATTGTCATCAGAAATGTAAAATTACAGCTCGCTACACTTGATTGCGCCGTTCCAACCCTCAAATTATCGTGAGAGTTGCGCTTTTTTTCAGGAAATTCCCTTTTGGAAGATTTCTGGGGGCAATCGGCATCTTTTTCAACTTTTGCTCAGTTGCACATTTTAAAGGCAGCGCCCACGTTCATTTGATGTTCCCGCGCCCTCTCTGGATATCATAGCCCTCCCTATGAGGATGCAGTATGTACTAGTTTTGCATCTCAAAAAGGCGAGAGGATAGCGCCGTTCGCTAGTGAAGAGTCGGCCGCCCCGCCCACCTGGCCAGCATAGGGTTCTATATAGGGCATTTTCCATGATTTTTTCTGCTTTTTTCTTCACTACTGGATCACGTATTATATGAGCTCCATAACTCATTATTCTTGAAAGCGGGCTCAGCCTTAAAGGCTAAGCCAAAGCAGTTATGGCAGCCAGGTGGGCGGGGCGGCATCCTCTTCACAAGCGGGTGGCGCCATCCTCTCGTATTTTTGAGCTGCGAAATTAGTACATCCTCCACCCTTGTCGACAAAGCTACGATATCTAAGGAGGGCGTAGGAACATCAAATGAACGCGGGCGCTGCCTTCAATCCATTCAGATTTTCTTCAGACCATCAAGAGCGCTTCATAACGCTGGCCTTTAGTTCGCTGTTCAGATCTGCAGAGCAGGTTCTATCTCTTTCTCCCCTCACCAACCTCACGTTGCGTGGTTTGCCACTAACACATCGATAGATTCGTTCACATCGTAACCCATGGAAATGTGGCCGACAAATACATCGATGACGGTAACGTATCCATGTTCCAATTGGATCGCACTTCAGCACCGAACCGATGATTACTGGATCTGAAATCACGAGGTATTTATCCTTAGCGGCATTCTACGGTATTCGGTGAATGGAGACTCATGATCATTGTGCTCCCTCATTAATCCTACCCTTGTCGGGGCATATCGCCGCTATGTGAAGACATCTGCTGTTGGCAGCGAAGCAGATATTGGAGGATTTTCCGTAGTTGGTTTTGCCACCTCAGGCGCTACCTATCCTCTTATTGTTAGTATGCGGCGACCGCGTGGGCACAAAATTAGACTTCAGATAGTAGATCGACATTGTTATTCCTCCCTTCTGCCTTCGCTTGCCGCTTCTTGTTCGACTGCGAAATTTCCGAAATCAATGTGTTGGGGATGTGACCCACCTTTGAAGGAGCACTGACACTCGACATTATCACATGTCCAATGAAGAGCCCCTGCCCTCATCTCTATACGGTCAGCAAGGGGATCAGGTTAAAGCAGGGGCGGCGGGTTCCTGAGTCTCCGTTCATCCGATTAATGTAGAATATGTCAGTCAGGGCATAGCAGTCAGGGCATGGAAGCCTGAGCGGAGCTACCATTACAGGAAATGGAAAACCCATGGAAATGATGGGTTTTCCATTTCCTGTAATGATAGCTCTGCTCAGACTTTCATGCCCTGACTGCTATGCCCTGACCTAGCAAGCAGCTTCTGAGGAGCGTGGTGGGACACTACTACTCATGAAAAGCGAACATCACTGTGGAGCCAATTCTCTCGGCCTCCACGAGGAGGGTCTTTCTTATCCTTCAAAACTGTATGGTTTCAATGCTGCATGTTGTACGGAAATACGTGGTTCACAGAAGTGAGGCTCCTTTTCTCCTGCGCCAAGGGAACCGTCTGAACAGAGCTAATTTGGAAGTCCTCTATAAATATAAGTTATCTTTTGCTACCGGTTTTAGTGACTTCTCCGAAAACAGGTAATGACTGTAACAGACCCTCAGTAAAATGTTTCGAGAGAGTGGAGCTCGAAGCAATAGGTTAGCTTCCGCTCTTCACGTGCCCTTCAATGAGAAAAAAACAGTAGAGTTATCTTTCTCTTACGTTTCCCCTTACATTGTTTTGAATAAGAAAAAACGACCCTATCTGCTTTCTGTACTTTACAGCAGTCGAAGTGCACGTCATTTCCGGTTGATTCACAACCCTCAGCTGACGCGGTACTCTCGTTTTGGTTGTATTGCGGAATCCCAAGAGTGAGTCAGAGTCCATCCCCCATGAGCGCAAGCCGCGGCAGTAGAACCCGAGTTTAATATCGTACATGAAAGACACACCCACATCCGTGAGGGTGGTTAAAAACTTTTCAATATATCACTTTAGTAACTGATCGCTTTGGAACGTCATCAAAAGCACCGAAAATATCACAAAAATTTTATCAGAAACTGTCAGGGAAAACTTTTGCGGGAAGGGGTTGGTAAAAAGGTTCGCCTAACCCGAAGTTTTTGTCCTTCAGGGTCGGACAGGACAAAAATTCCCATCACTTGGCACACAATTGTTTGATCACACCATCCAGCGGGGAATTCTGCTCAGTGCAGCAGTGCAGTGCAGGAAAGAGTGAGGAAACCGTATTGAAACGAAGATCATCTTCGAAGGTCCCTTGTGCCGAAGCAATCCTGTGTACTACTGAACCAGTCTTTTTTTTGGCTAGCGTCCAAATTCTTATGGAATGAAAGATGGACACAGGTATGGAAAGTAAGGAGCAAAATTTGAGTCGCTTAACTTCTTGCTGTGGAATCCAGCTCGGACAACTTATGCTGTACCATTATAACAATCAGAGGGTTTTGCGCTTACGCCGGTCAAAGTTTCACAGCAACGTCCTAGCAAAGTCATCTCGACCCGAGGTCAGAGAAAAACCAAATGACCGCGTAACATTGCTGACGCACTCTATCTGTTTTGTTTTCCTTCTCACTAACCTGAGCGAATGCTCCCGTCGGTGATAGCGAAGAGTTCAAGGACGCCAAGAAGAATGAGCGTCCACTTTAGTGTCATTTGATCTGGAATTACTATTATTAGTTTTCATCTGCTCATTTCTTTAAAAGATAATATCACTGCGAAGAGGGTCAGCGTTCCCATGTGACACTGGATGAATCCCGAACTGCCTTGGTTTCACCTTCAGTTCTTCCAAAGAAAAGAGACATGTCCACACGTAATCAAAGTAAGATTCTGGGCACACGGACTACACTCAATATCGTACCCCGATGCCAGAAATCGTCGAATTCGGGTGCCTTTTTCCCGGCACCCCCGCCGCCTCTGCTCCGAAACTATACAGGGGGGCGCGGGCGCGGCGGACAAAAAAAAAGACATTTTCCGCTCCTTGTCAGTTCGCAGAGCGGTAATCACCCGGCAGTTCACCTCATTGAATTTTTATGGGACCTACTTCACCCGGCGACCCCTCCACGCACCCCATATTCTTCACCAGAGGCATATAAAATAGCTAATCGAACGACGCCTCCCGCCCACAGCCTTCTGGACGCAGCGCCTATTGAGAGATTGCGCCGGCCAACCGGGCGATGTGGTATGAGATCAGCGAGACTAGTCGAATTCCTCCGTATGCCTGTACGACCAATGGCCTTTTGAGCTCGCACCGACCGGTTATTGGGTGGTTTAGCTCAGGGACCTGCTGAGATATTCCACCTTGTAACCAGTACTCATGTCCTCTTCATTCCGAGTAGGCGAGAGTTTCCTCTAAACTACGCCGCCCCCTTGCAATTCATTGGTTTTCACCACCCGATGCGTAGCAGTACCAACTTTCCAAGAAGGTACGGAGGACGACATGTGGGATGATGTTTTCACTACAGTAGCCTCGAATTAAAGCGGCGCTAGATGCTTCACCTTCAGTCCCGGGGGATCCAACGAGAGAAATATCGGTCTTGATCCTATTCTAGGATACGTCCGCCATCACCAACAACCGTCGCCTTGGAGACTGTGGTGAAGAATGATATCCTAATACCGTAGCGAACCGTTTGCTCGAAGCCTGGCTCGACGCTGGAACGGTCTTGCAGATCACAGATGTACTTGTCATCCAGGTAGCTCTCTCACATATGGGTGACTTAATTCAAGAAGTTTCACAGCTGTTTAGAGGTGACGTGAATTCCGAAGGTCTTCACCAGTCAGGTTGCGACTGGAGATGACTTCATATTTTGGTGTACATGAGAGGCGATGGGCGAGCGCCAGCTCCTGCTTATAGAGGAACATCTTGGGTATCCTCCGCCCTGGTACTCGTATCCACGTTCTCTGTCTGGGCTGCGAAAACTTTGCTGATATGTGACTCGGTCGAAATGTCTTTTTTTTTGCCCCCCCCCCTGTATATCACATATTTTTCATGAAATCTTCCTAAGGCACGACTGAAAACAGAATCAACTGTTCATAGACGTTAAGAAGGGTGGGACTTCTCCCAAACATCATAGGCCACCATAATACCAAGATATATGACGTGGAGATTGTAGGCAAGGAAGCTATTACTATATTCATCACACCAACTTCACTGACAGTGAATATTTCAAGGCGGCGCACCAGGCGCTGCACAGTCACTCATGTGTCAGCACCGACTGCCCATAGTGCTAGCTGCCGAAAAGATTTCATCGCACTCGGCACGAATGCGGAATAGATATAAGCTGCAATAGAATAACTTTTGGCGACAAACTTCTAAAACGGCCGCGAAAAGAATCTCCGCGCTATTCGGCTTAGAGGAGGCATTCTGCTCTTTTGCTAGCTCCTTTTGTTCGTTCATGTTAACTAACAAGCCTTCCTTGGGTCGGTCAGACCGAACTGCGAAATTGTTGAGGGAGCAGTTTGGTCACAGGGATTTACAGGTCAGGTCTTAAAAATTGGCTTATAAGAGGCTTGGCTGAGTACTACTCAGTGCCCCACCAAGCCGAACTGCTCCTAAACTTTCGATTACAATCTGGCGAGCCTCCACCATTTTCGACAAAGGGAACAGTTTGGAATAAGTAGCGTCCTGAGAGTTCTCGTCTCTATGGAATTACCACTCTTTTCACAAAAATGTAGAGCTGTCTTAGCTAGCCAATTACGGCCCCCTCTTCATTGACTCAAATACAGTCCTCTTGAGCACTCCAACAGTGGCATACCCTGATATAAAGTTGTCATTTCTTCAGGTTCAACCTGCTAACTGCATTGAAAACAGCGGGTCAATCCCTGAATAGGTCCTACAAAGACGCAAAGAAACTGGCACGATGAGAATGAATTATCATCACTTTTCAATGATTGTTATCATCTCCATGATATCATGTTTGTCATCACCAATGGCATGACATTTCAAGTTTGAGAGATAATTAAGCAAAGGGTTAAAGTTTTCCCCGTTAATTATTATCTATTCGAAATGCGACACACATTCTACTCCCATTCAGAGTCCTAGTGGCTTATTGGCGATGTGACAATGACTTGCGGGGCCAGCGGATGTACAAGTCAGTGATCTCATCCTTCCAGGCGAATCTGGTACCAATTCACCATCCCGGGGAGTAGAAGGCTTGGTTGACCTGAGCAGGAGCCGATCCAGGATTTCTTCCACAGATCGTACGCGTAATAAGCGTGGCACTTGACACCATATCGCAATGGATCACGGGGCCAGCGTGTTTACGATAGTATTGTACATGTGCATGGCATTGGATTTATTATTTACCCCTCCCCCCTTGATATGGTGCAACAGAAATGATTCCAAAAAGTGAAATCTTCGCTGACTTTTTGGGCAGGACTTGATCGGCCATAAGAAAGAAAATGGAATTTTAAAAAAAGGTGAATCTGCAAAGCAGAATTTTTAATACCTCTGCATAATTCTCTCGCCATGATCCTGAAGGCATAGTCCAAGATGGCAAGATGTGGGTAATGTCTGAGTGTGAACGCTAAGTAAATTGTCAGTGATACAAAAGCAGGATGGCACCGAGGCTTAAGTAAGGACTTTCGCGGTTAGATTCTGTGCACTATGAGAGTGAAGTGGGGAAACATTTAGCGCTCGTGGGAGGGACCAGAAACAGAAGTGAAAGATAATATGCCGCGTAATCTTTCAAAATGGCTCTGTTTGTCGACGGGGGGGGGGGCATTTTGTACTACCACTGCTTCCCTAGTTCCGGTTTACAAATCTCACCCTGGTAAAACTTGTGAACCCTTGTGAAGCTGGTGCAAGATAGTCTAGCCACCATCCTAAAACGTGTCAACTCGAGAAAAGGCTACCTAGATGGGTCGGCACATCTATGGAAAGCAGAATGCCCCCCCCCCCGTCGACAAACTGCGCCTTAACCATATACGCGCTAACGTTATACTTCATGCTGAAACAGTCGGAGCGCCCATCGCACCATGACGCGCTCGGCGAAATTTCGGCGAAATGTTTGGTACAAATGGCTCTCCCTTCTGCAGGACTGCTCTGACCGTATCATCCCTAGACAAGGTGAAAATTTTCTGAAGATCATTCGGCTGAGAACCTTCCCGTATCCAAAGAAGAGGTGAAAAGGATTGAAAGCGAATTGAGTACTACAATAAGGTCCTTTCAGAAAGCAATGGAGAGAATCGATATCAGGAGGTCGATGACTCGTCGTCCCTTATCAAAGCGAGCCGTTCTTGCGCTAACTGATAACACTATTTATTCCATCCAACGATTCAGACATCAAATTCGTTGCCATCATTGGCTTCTTCTTGATTACCACAGTTGCATCTGGAAAGCGAAGAAAGCCTGGTACAAGGAGTTAAAGTTTTCAAAGGGGTTCCAAGAATGGAATTGTCGTTCGATTGATTTGGAACAAACTT